CGAATAAGAGTGGAAATTTTTTAAACGGGAAGAGCAAAACTGATAATAGATGAGCGAAAGGAACTTGAGTATGAAACCTCTATGGTGTAATAAAAAAAAACAATCTCGGGGTCATGTACATAAGAGATAAAACCTTTATACATAGTCTTAACGTTAGGCATTTACATTTCAAAATTTTGTTTAAAATCATCATTTAACTAAAAATGCGTCATTCATTCATGAATAACATGCACGACGCATAAAAACACTCTTAAGAAAATGCAAAAATGTGTTGAGGTGGGAGGAATTGAACTGCATCATACAGTTTGACAAGCCGCACACTCACCACAACACTATCTTCCAATCCGTCCACGAAACATTTTTCAACCATGGTAGAGGTGGTACTAACGCTTAAAATTTTCAATCGTTCATAACTTTTCCAAAAAAAAAACGCTTCGCAAATATGGAAGGCAGATTTGGAATTAGCATCAAAAACTCATCTACTAGTGTACATTGCTTCTTGAATGTTACTTTAACTAAGTATCCTTCCCTTGTTAGTAATGTAATTGAATTGACTTTTCAATCATTCCGCCTTCGTTCAAGCTCCAACGCCTGCCAAAAATGAACCAGCTCGTCGTGATCACCAGAAGTTTGCTGCCGCTACGCCTACAAATGATCCACGCTCATCTGCACCGTTGAGAAGTCTCCGCACGGAGGTTCCAATCGTTAGTCGATTGACGACATAATAAAGGCTGTATTTCTAGTCTGGACGGGTTACCTATCCGCTGATCTATGTTTCCCCAGCGGGTTCAATCTCTGTCATCCTCTCGCATGCTATCATCATTGAGATGTCAATTGATCGATGTGTTCGCGTCGTTTGTCATGACAACTTTGCTGTGAGTGATACTAAGGTTGCTAACTAGATGAGTGTATGGAAGCTCATTTAGGCGTTTGTGAATGGCCGAGGCACTGCATCGTGCATTTTACATAAGAAAGCTCGAATGCTTCACACGAGGGATATGGTCTACACAAAATTCTGTAAGCGTTTTGACTATACTTATACAAAGGCTGAATGGCCTTTGCAGTTTACTACAGTAATCATCAAATTTTCAGCTTCCACTAATGATCGATTGGCAGTAATCGGTGATGAAGGGATATTGTTTTCCATGAGTCATTTGAATGAAGCATATTTGGTGTCGAGTCACATTAAAGGTTTTTCAAATTCAGTTTCAAAAATTCGCTTTGATACTTCTAGACAATCTCACAAATCAGTGAAAGACTCTGCAGTGATAATCGCAAATTTAAACTCAAAAAATGCTAGCTTTTTCAGTTATATTTCCAAATTTTGCAATAATTCTCACAGTAGACTATAAATGTCGTCCGTTATCGAATGAGTATTCGATAGTTATGTAGCTATCTGAGCGCACAAATTATTTGAATCGTAGGTTCAGCAATAAAAGAATATTTGATATTTTACTTACTTACTTAAATACTTAGATGCCCTGTCTTAACTTTACAGACCACAGCACTGTTTCCATCCGTTTCTGTCTCTCGCTAGCGTCATCCACGGCATTAATATTGAACTGCGACGGGGACTTTCGCGAGGTCCAGATCCATTACTTGTTATCAGCGGAGAATTCAGCTAGTCCATCTGTGCAACGAATACGTCAGCCCATCTTGTCGGTGGCCTTCCTCGAGGACGTTTCACTTCGCAAGGAATTTACTCCAGAGTGCTTAGTGTCCATCTGGTCTGTTCTTCTCATTATATGACCAGCCCATCGATGTTTTGCCTTAGACACGTATTCCGGTGGATCGCGAAGACGAGACATTGATATAGAACTGCGAGAAGACGTCGTTCCAGCGCTCTGTGGGTTGGTCGCAGAACCTCTGACGTAGCCACAGTGTCAGGCCACGTCTCTGCTGCGTAGAGCAGGGAGAACGGTTGAATCAGGTGAGCTCGGAGCTCTGGGTCCGTCAGTTGGCTTCCTTTAATGGCCTGAAGGCGGCTCAAGCTGCTCTTTGCCTCCTGTTCAGTTCTTCTTTCAGATCGTTCTCCATGTTCATCGAACCCCGAGATATACACAAGAAGACGTTTTCGCGATTGGAGAACGTTCTATTCCATTTCCTAATCCTCGCAAAAAGCGCTCTTCAACTGGGTCTTCTTGCAATTAATTCGCAGTCCTATCCGCTTCTTTACCTCATTTAGTTCTTTCAATATTGTCTTTCAGTGATATTCCGCGAGAAGAGAAATATGTCGTCCGCAAAACGAAGTTTTGGGAGCAGCTTTCCAATAACTCGTATACCTCTTTCGTTCCAATCCACTGCTTTCATTGCCCACTGCAAGGCGGCGGTGAACAGCTTGGCGACACAATGTCGTTATCAAACTTTTGAAATTGGTATTTCTTGTAGCATTACGCCAAAGCCCTCACTTAAGATGGGTACATCCGTTGGTCAACGAGCGCTGACAGTATGGCAGCATTACTCTCAACTCTTTCAAACGCTTTCTCGTAGTTGACGAAGGTTAGGACGAGACGTAGGCGGTACTCTCGGCGAACTTCGACAATCCTCGAAACCGTCTGGATGTAATCCACGCAGCTGACCTTTGCGAAATCTAGCCTTACAGGTTGAGTTTCATCCAGTGTCCTTGATATGCGAGCGAGAATAGGCATATTGGACAGTAGTTCCAAAGATCCTCCCTATTGCCCTTCTTATAAAGCAGGATTTTTTGGGAGGCGAAGTAGGTGTGCCGCAAGTAACTCGTGTAAGCGATATCCTTCAGTTCATAAGAGGTCGTTTGAAGGTCCTTGTGGCAATT